GAAGTGAAGTGTCCCAACGTCATAGGGCGGGAAGCTGGGTTTGGGTGGTCGCGAAGAGTCGTTTGGATATTTGGTAGAGCTTGAACTGCCCCCCCACGAAGTGGGGGTATTGTCTCGCGTCGCATGAAAACCCTGGCACTGGTGAGAACACTGAGCGTTCGGGTAAAATGATTGTTGTTGTTGTTGTTGTTGTTGTTGTTGTTGTTGTCGTCGTCCCACCCGCGACCCACCAGCGACCCACCCCGCGACCCACCCCGCGACCCACCCCGCGACCCACTCCGCGACCCACCCCGCGACCCATCCGTGACCCAACCCGCAACCCACCCGCGACCCACCCTGCAACCCACCCGCGACCCACCCGCGACCCACCCGCGACCCACCCCACGACCCACCCGCGACCCACCCCGCGACCCATCCGCGACCCATCCGCGACCCACCCGCGACCCACTCCGCGACCCACCCGCGACCCACCCCGCGAGCCACCCTCAAGGGAGGAAAAACCACCGGACCCGACAGTTTACGTTTACTAAAACGGCCCTGGGCGTTGACTAAACAGCCCTGCCTTGTTCGATTCATTCCTTGCGTGCGATTACTGAACGGCTTCGCTTGTCGGGGTGATTATTATGGGGTGGCTTTTCTGCCCTCTACGCCTTGTATGCGTTTACTGAACGGCTTCGCTTGTCGGGGTGATTCTTATGGGGTGGATTTTCTGCCCTCTACGCCCGCGACCCACCCGCGACCAACCCGCGACCAACCCACATTTGTTTAACGAAAAAATCGGGGCCTGAGGCGGGCTCGTTGTATAATGTGTGGAAGCTTTGGCGCCTGCGGCGGGCTTCGCCGGAGTCTCGCAAACTGCCGACGTCCCCACCGCCCCCTTATTCATATCCGCATCTGCGGGGTGCTACGTACAACGAGCCCGCCGCAGGCGCCGATTTTTTCGTCAAACCAAGTGGGGGTAGTGGGTGGGTCGCGGGTGGGTCACGGTCGCGGGTGGGTCGCGGGTGGGTCGCGGGCGTAGAGGGCAGAAAGTCCACCCCATGATAGTAACCCGACAAGCGAAGCCGTTCAGTAAACGCACACAAGGAATGAATCGAACAGGGCAGGGCTGCTTAGTCAACGCCCAGGGCCGTTTTAGTAAACGTAAACTGTCGGGTCTGGTGAGTTTTCCTCCCTTGAGGGTGGCTCGCGGGTGGGTCGCGGGGGGTCGCGGGGTGGGTCGCGGGTGGGTCGCGGATGGGTCGCGGATGGGGTCGCGGGGTGGGTCGCGGGTGGGTCGTGGGGTGGGTCGCGGGTGGGTCGCGGGTGGGTCGCGGGTGGGTCGCAGGGTGGGTCGCGGGTGGGTCGCGGGTGGGTCGCGGGGTGGGTCGCGGATGGGTCGCGGGGTGGGTCGCGGGTGGGTCGCGGGGTGGGTCGCGGGTGGGTCGCGGGTGGGACAACAAGCAACCACAACAACAACAACAGCCATCATTCTACGATTGTTCGCTTTTACTTGCCCGTGTGTCATTCAAAACGAGCTCCCGACACCCTCGATACCCGCCCTGTTTGTCTTCGACCACACCCCCTTTGGTGGGAGGATTCTTTCTCTTTGCGGGGGGCGGCGGGCTTAGACAGGCGGGAAAACCTGAACGGGCGGACAATCTTTCGTGGGCGTACATGTGCCCGCCATTAGAAGTGGTGTGGGCCCTACCAAAAGAGGAGGGGGAGAACGAGGGAGAGTGGGAGGAAGGGAGGGGGAAGGACGAAGGAAGAGGGAAAACGCCATGAGAGAAGGAGCGAAGAGAGGGGCGGTTGATTAGAGGCAGAGAGGGAGAGAGAGAGAGAGAGAAAAAAAAAACAACATACATAAAGACACATAAGAGAGGTAGAGCAAGAGAGAGAGAGAGAGGGAAGAGAGAGAGAGAGGGAGAAATAAAGAGGGAGGGAGGAGGCAGGAGAGGGGAGGGAGAAGGGAGGAGGGAGAGGAGGGAGAGGGGATAGGGCAGAGAGGCATAAGGATGAGGGGAGGGGGGGGGGGAGAGAAGGGAGGAGAGGAGGGAGGAGGGAGGAGGGAGAGGGAGGAGGAGCAGGAAGGTAAGAGCGTGAACGTTCGAGGAAGTCCTATGCGAAAGCGCCGTTCCTGAAGTAAGTCTCGGGCGGGAGCCCACGACGGGCGGGCGATCCCCTGACGGGCGGGTCGGGCGGGTGGGACATTCAAGCGGGATGCCTAAGTATGGCGAGAGCGCGATTATTAACTACGTTGTAAGTGCGTCCTTGGCGCATCGTATTTCCTGAGCGTCGAAAGCGCGATTTCTGAATAAGGTGCATGGAAGTCACAGGCGAGAGCTCAACTCCTGAATCAAATGTGAAGGGCTCTCTGGCGGGAGCGGGGGTCTTGATTAAATTGCAAGGAAGTCTTGGCTCAACAATTGCGCGGAAGTCTCCAGCGGGAGCGCCGTTCCTGAGTAAAGTGTGAGGAAGTCTCAAATGGGAGCAGGGGTCCTGTCTAAATTGCGAGGAAGTCACAGGCGGGAGCGCCGATCCTGAGTAAATTGTGAGGAAGTCTCAGGAGCGGGGGTCTTGAGTAAATTCGGAGGAAGTCTCAGGCGGGAGCTCTTGTTGTTTTAATCCGGGGGGCCAGGGGCCCAGTTTGAGCAGGAAGATTCTCCCTGTCAGAAAACAGGGTGCGAGCGTCGAGGGGCACACTTTGATGGAGAAAAATCAGCATGCATCGGTGATGGGGGAGTCAGCAATAATTATTTTTCATAAATGAGAGTTCAACAACAACAACAACAACAACAACAACAACAACAACAACAACAACAACAACACACAACAACAACAACAACAACAACACCAACAACACACAACAACAACAACAACAACAACAACAACAACACCAACAACAACAGCAGCAACAACAACAACAACGACAACAACAACAACAACAACACCAACAGCAGCAACGACGACAACAACAACAACCCAAACAACAACAACAACAACAACAACAATCATTTTACCCGAACGCGTGGTGTTCTCCCCAGTGCCAGGGTTTTCATACGACACCAGGCAATACCCCCACTTCGTGGGGGGGCATTACAAGCTCTACCAAATATCCAAACGACTCTTCGCGACCACCCAAACCCAGCTTCCCGCCCTATGACGTTGGGACACTTCACTTCGTGGCGTGCGGACGACCGTGGCTACTACACTGGCGTGGGGTACACACCCACAGAACCCAATGGTTTTTGGAGATTTCGGCGTGCGCGCGCGAAGAAAAAACGAATCTGTCCCGCATGGTATTATTTGACAGGGATGATGGCCCTGGCAGGTGCGCAACCGTTGTCGCAGAAGTTCGAAAAAGTTGCTCGCAAAAGCCCGTTTGACAGAAATGTTTAAAAAGTGTGTTGGGTTTCCTACGAATCCGCAAGAGCGCGCGGGATGAGATTTTGACATTTTTTTGTTGAAAAACCATTGGTTTTTTGATGTTTTTATGTTAAAATCGCTCCGAACACTAAGCTTTTGGAAGGATTTCGTCTTGCGCGCGCGAATGTCCACTTTACCTTATTTTTTGCAAGGGATTCTTGAAATTTGATTATATTAGAACAAGAAATGTCATTTTCTATTGTTTTTTGCAAGGGAAAGCGGATTACAACAAAACAACCGGATCTTGATCACCTCGAATTACCTGAGGCTTCCTCACGAAAATGATGAAAACGTGGCTGCGGCCTAGGCGCGGCGGGGGGGGCGCGCACCAGGGGGCCCAACAATAATTATTCTTTAGAATTAATAATGTTCAACAACGACGCAACAAGCGGAAATAACACCACGAGTTCCTTATTCAGCCACGCACCCAGGGACAATGAATAACCGCTCGGCCCCCCTCACTCTGATAATAGAGCAGGGTCGAGTAGATTAGATTCGAGTATAACAAAGTAGAGCTGAGTAGAGTCGATTAGGGTCGAATCGATTCGAGTAGCGTAGAGTAGAGTAGACTAGGGTAGAGTAGTATAGAGTAGAATGCCGTAGGTGTAGAGAAGCGTAGAGTAGCGGAGCGTAGAGTAGTGTAGCGTCGCGTAGAGTAGGCAAAGGTCTATACTTATATTTGGAGTCAGTGCCCGCTGTTTGGGCGGATTTGGGCGTCTTGGGTCCTTGGGGGCTCCCAGAGCATTTGTGACCGTCTGGTGGCTCTTTTGGGCCACCTTGGAGGCATGTCGGGAACTATTTTGAACCATCGCCGGCTTCCGTGGGCCATCATGGAGACAATTTTGGAGCATCGGGGGCCCTTTGGAGCCGTCTTGGGCGAAGAAAGACCCCCTGACACATCGCGAACCCCCCAACAAAGTTCAGGGAGGGGAGGGGGAGGGTACCCCCCGAAGGGAAGTGGGATTCGGAAAGAGGAAAGAGAGGTGCAGTTTGACCTACGCCCAGAGGGCTGGTGGGATTCGTCATGCGCAGACCCACTCCCTGCCTACCCCTCCTCCACCCCGCTCCCCTCCTCCGCCCCTCCCTTACCTCCTACCACGGGCGATGCTCTCCACTACTATCGCCCCAGAGAAATGAAGAGAAGGGGAGGCGGTGTCGCGGTTCGGCTCGGGCCAGCCATGGGCCGTGGGGCGGGTCCCTTCTGCGCCCCGCGCAGAGCTCGGCTTGTCGGCGACACGTGAGAGTGCCCCTCTGCCAGGGCGGCCTTGGATGCGCTGGGCGCGGGGGAAGGGGGAGGAGGGGGCGAAACACTTTTTTGCGTCGGCGGCTGGGCAGAGTACTCGTCCACCATGCAGGAGGAGGGGAGAGGGCAGAGGACGCGGCCGAACTAGGGGGGGGGGGCATGCAGGAGGAGGGGAGAGGGCAGAGGACGCGGCCGAACAGGGGGGGGGGGAGGGGGGCAAACCCAGGCAAGCAGGCCGCTACTGCCGCATCGCACGTGCGGGTCGGCAGGGCCGCGCATCGGAGGCCACTGGCCTGCGCGCCGCTCCTGCGCGCAACCGCCGGGCCGGGCCTGGCCTGCAGAGCTCCGCATGGATCGCGCGGGCGCAAGCGCCTGGGCGCCAGGCCCGGGGGCCTCCGGGCGCATCGCGGCCCGCCTGGAGGGCAGCGGGCTCGAGCTCGCCTGGACGGAGGAGCGCGGCAGGGTGCTGAAGGCGCCCGGGCCTCTCGTCGCCGACCGTCGTGCCGCCGCGCCGCGGACCTCCGCCACCCGCCGCCGCCGAGTTCCTCGGGGGATGGATCTGGAAGTTCCTGGAAGTGGATGCCGATGCCGCTGCGCGTGCTGCAGAGGCGTCGCCGTCACCGAGGGATTCGCCTTGGGGTCCTGGCAAGAGCGCGCGCACCCCAGGAGAGGTCCGGGAAGTAGCAGTATCGTTGTGTTGTTGTTCCCCCAACTCCCCTGTAATGTCAGCTTGTGATCAACAAATGACCAGATCTCCACCCCCACACCCCGGGGCTGATGAATCGACCCCGCGGGGCGCGAAGCCTTTTTTTGAATCACGCGCGCCAGGGGGTCGTCTCTGGTGCCGATGAGGGGATCGTGGACCCCATGGCAGCCTCAAAACGATTGCCTTTCGTATTGAAATTGATATAGAGGTCGTACATATGCAAGGCGAATTCTTTTCCCTTTCCCAGGCGTCGTCGTCGTCGTTGTCGTCGTCGCTGCCGCCGCCGCCGCCGCCGCCGTCGTCGTCGTTGTCGTCGTCGTCGTCGTCGTCGTCGTCGTCGTCGTTGTCTTTCATCGTCGTCACTGTCGTCGTCTTCGTCGTCGTCGTTGTCGTCGTCGCCGTCGCCGTCGTCGACTACAGCGGGCATGCGCGCAGCACCCACCCCCCCACGGGCACATGGCATCCGCTGTGCGTCGTTGTCGTCGCCGCCGTCGGCGTGTGCCGTCCGCCGTCCGTCGTCCTCGTCCTCGTCCCGTCGTCGTCGTCGTCGTCGTCGTCGTCGTCGTCGTCGTCGACGACGACTACAGAGACCACGACAGGGGGGGAGGAGGACTGCCCGCCTTGCTCGAGCCGGAGGAAAGGCAGGGGAAGGAAAGGGGCGGTTGCGCAACCTGCTGCGCGCGGGTGGTTTCGGTCGCCCCGCCGAGGGACCAGTCCTCAATGCATGGCCGCTTTCGGCGCCAGGGGGCGCTCGGAAAATCAGCAATGTGAGCTGTTGGGCAAACCCCCTCGTGGCCACGCCTTGCTCGCGGGCCCGCGAGGCAGCTGGCGCCCCCCGGACTGCGGCCGGGGCAAAGGAAACGCATCGGTTCGACAGAAGAGAGCACGGAGAGTGCGGGGGCGAGCGACGACATTTGTTTTTTGCTTGATTTCAAACAGATGTCGCCTTGGCTCACGGTCCTTGCTTCTGCCGCCTTTGCCTCTGCCCCCCTCCCCTCCCCCAGTCTGTACTGTCTGTCGCCTTCTCGTTGGCGGCCAGGCGTCGGCGTTAATCGCCGGCGCCGCCCCGTTAATTCATTGGCTTACGCCACGCCGCCGACACCATTGGGCGGCAGCAGTCGTCCCCCTTGTTGCCTGTCCGGACAGCTTGTGACGCCCCTGTAGACACGTTTTGGAGCCCTCTTGGGACCGTCCTGCCGTTCCCCGGGGCCGTTGCTATGGTTTCTTGGGTCTTCGTGGGGCGCCTGGAGGCCGTTGTGGAGCCTTTTAGAGAGTCTGTGGGGGTGCCAGAGGTCGATGTTGGAGGTTTATTGGGCCGTTGTGGGCCTCGTGGAAGCCCAAGAAGCGAATATGCTGAAAACGCACGTTCTCCCAAAGGAATGGGACGGTTTTTGCTTCGCGGGGCCTGCGTGGAGCGCCTCGTGGTCGCGTACGCAAACGCTTTGGACGCCCATGGGGCTGTCTGAATGCAATCGTGGGCGGTTTGGACCGAATCGTCCCCCGCGTGGGCCGTCCGGACAGCCTTTGGGGGCCCTGTTGGCCCGTTTTGGAGCCCTTTTGGGACCGTCCTGCGGCTTTCCTAAACCGTTGCTATGGTTTCTGGTGCGTTCGTGGATTGCCCGGAGGCCGTCGTGGAGCCTTCTTGAGAGCTTCTTCGGGTGACAGGTGTCGATCTTGGAGGTTTATTAGGCCGTTGTGGGCCTCGTGAAAAGCCCAAGAAGCGAGTGTGCTGAAACTGTACGTCTTCCCTCGGGAATGGGACGGTTTTTGCTTGTGGAGGCCTTATTCGAGCGCCTCGTGGTCGCGTTTTCAAACGTTTTGGTCACCCATGGGGCCGTCTGGCGGCAATCTCGGGCGGTTTGGACCGAATCGTCCCCCGCGTGGGCCTTCCAGACAGCACAGCCTTTGGGGGCCATCTTGCCTCGTTTTGGAGCCCTTTTGGGACCGTCCTGCGGCTTTCCTAAGCCGTTGCTATGGTTTCTGGCGCTTTCGTGGGTCGCCCGGACGCCGTATTGGAGCCTTTTTGGGAGCCTTTTGGGTTGGCGAGGGTCGATTTTGGAGGCTTCTTGGGCCGTTTTGCACCGCGTGGAAGCCGAATGGGCGAATGCAGTGAAAATGCACGTTTTCCTTAGGGAATGGGGCGATTTTTGCTTCTGGAGGGCCTCTCAGGGGCGCCTCGTAAGATTGTTTCAATCGTCTTGGGGACTTATCGAGCCGTGTGGAGGCAATCTTCGGCGTTTGGGGGCGATCCTTCGTCGATTCGTAGCTCTCTTGGACCGTTCCGGAAACCTTTGGAACCTTTTTGGCCCGTTTTGGGGCCTCCTGAGGCTCCAACTCTGCGGATGATGGATTTGCCCTCCCCCCCCCCCCTCCAAACCGTCTGGACCAGGCCCCCGGGGGAGGGGTTTGGGGAGGGGGAAGCATCTCACACGCCGTGACCCCAAGGGGTCGGCGGATTTTCAATCTGGCGGGCGCCATCCCGCAATTCGCCCGAGCAGGGGAATTAGTTTTTTTACGCGCGCACCCCACGGATTTGTTCTCACAGGCTGACACTACATCCTGAGCTTCAACTCGCAGTATCCACCAACCACCATCACCCCCACCCCCACTCCCCACCACGAGCCAACACCCACCGCCCCCACCACCAACCGGCATCATTCGGTTCTATATTATTGACACCAGGCTGCTATGCAGTCATTTTTTCTACCCGACTTCTCGCGTCCACTGGAGCTGGTTGCAGTGGAACTGTAGAGCGGCAGTGGTCGCAGCTGTAGTCGCAGTACTGGAACAGTTGAAGCAGCAGCAGCAGCAGCAGCAGCAGCAGCAGCAGCAGCAGCAGCTGCAGTTGCACGTGTTGCAACAATCGTGGAGGGGGGGTGAACTAGGGTATGTCACCACGAACACGTTCTCGGTGATGCAGTTGGTGAAGAGGTGAGGTGGGTCAGTACCTTCACCAAGATGAGCGTCGTCTGTCAGTTAGTACTCGCCAAGCCACTTCTGGATCTGATAGAAACAACCAACAAAAATGGAAGCTGCTTCGGGCAACAATCGTGGAGGCGCTCCTCCCCTCTCCCCCCCACCGGCCAGGGTTAGGTCGGGCATGTCCCCTACAGGTGGATTTTTGGGCGACACATGAAAAATACACCAAACTGGCCAAACAACACGTCCAGAAAATAGTCCCCAGACCACTTTTTAGTGTTTTTGACCATCCCTCCTGTCGAGGGACAGGCCCGACTCGAGGCCAGGGCCCCCTTCGATCCCATCCGACGTCGACTTTGCCTGGCCAGCGCCGCTCCGATCCCCACCACCTCGGACGCCGGGGCGCGGCCCGCTGCCCGCCGCGGTGCGTCCCGGCGCGGCCGGGCCCGGTCCGACACTCCGAGCTCCGTGCCGGCTCGGGGGCGGCGGCAAAAAGAGGGGGCGATGACTGGGGGGGGGGGGATCTCACGGCGCGGGCCATGAGAATTTGCTCAGATGTCATGGCGCCTCTTCTCATTTCCTCAGATGTCATGGCGCGGGCCATGATGATTTCCTCCGATGTCATGGCGCCTCTTCTTATTTCATACCTTTCTGGCCCCCTCCCTGGGCCGCGCACGTGCCGCCCCCTCCTGGACGCCCCCCCCTTGGCCGCCCCCGACCGGTGCGGCCCGATCCGGGGCCTGCGCCGATCCGATCTGATTGCGGTAGGAACGTGCGGCGTTGGCGCGCCAGCGACGCCGGCGAAGGCGTTCAAGGTTAAATTCTGCGACGCGGAAGCACCGAGGGACGCGGTGACGCCACAGGACTCCGCGGAACTCAACCTTGGAAGATCGGGGCCGCGATCGATTCAAGGTTGAACGATCGACGCCGTGTCGAAAACCTTTGCTCGTGCCGACGCCGCACGAACCTACCGTATCCGATTGGGTGCCGACCGCTCTTGCCCGCATGTAGTACGGTACATCGACAAAATGTTGCACCACCTGGCGCGGACAATAAATCGTATCGCTGTTCTATGAGCGTTTTTTTCCACCGCAGCCCCCCCCCCCCGGTGTTAAGATGGGTTCAGTCTGTGTTGGTCGAAACAGCTCGGTGGTGCAACATTTTGTCGGGAGCCCTGGGCGGCCCAAGGGTTCTTCGCCATGCACCCAATATTAAGATCGGGCGGAAGGAGGGGAAAGAGCAATGCAGTGTAGGTGCCACTGCGCAGCAAAAGTGGTGGTATGCAATTCCTGAGAGAGTGCAATCCACATCGGCGCTGGCAGATCCGTGGTCGAAAGCCGTTGTAATCTGGCGAATCCCGCCCGATCTGGCGAAGCCCCGCTGAATATGGATGATTCTTGGGCCTAATATGGGCTAATCCGGCGTTGTGGTCTTTCGATCGGGCTTCATAGCCCACAATCGTTCCCACGAAGACTTCCCTGGCAGTTGGCCCTTCAGGTTCAGATGCCGACCCCTTCCTCCAGTACATGGACATTATATTCGAACCCTGTGGCCCAAGATGCCCCCCAGACCCCCCGAAATTAATATTCATGGCGTGGCGACGCGGGGGGCGTGAGTGGACAGAAATATTCGAACCCCAAAGCACCGCCTTTACTGAGATCAACATTGATGTCGGGGGCGCGGGGGTGATTTAGAATCTCCCTCGAATGTGTAAGGGTTCGAATATATTGTCCATGTACGGTCCGTCTCCCTCCCTTCCTCCGTCTCCCTCTCGCCCTTCTCCGCGCCCTGTGTGCGCCATCGTTGGACATGCTCGGCAGGGGGAGTTCTCCTTCCTGGAGCACGACGGAATCGAGCAGGGATAGCCGCGCTCCATTATCCTCCTCCTTCTCCGCCTCCGCCAGTGCTAGCTTTGGGGGGGGGGGGTCGTCCTGTCGGTGGGTCCTCGCCTGAAGACGGAACCGAGGGGGAGGAACAAAACGGCTCCGAGGGCACCTCGTCGGATGGACGTTCCCGCCCCCTTGTTCCTTCTTCTTCTTCTTCTTCTTCTTGTTTTGTTCTCTGACCTGGACCTCCCTATCCCCCTCCTCGTTGGGTTGCGCTTCATACTCTCCCGTTTCTTTTCTTGGCGAATTTTCCCTGTCGCACCCCGAGGCTAGTCGGAAGGGCGGGCCGGGCGTTTCGCTTGAGAATTCTTTACCATTTATGAGCCTGAAGCTTGAAAACTGACAACAGATTCACAGATGGAGGGCGGGCCGTTTCCAAGATGCGGCTCTCGCATTAGCGCCCCGCACATCCGTTCAACAACGACTGCAACAGCTGCATGGATTGAGGGCGGGTCGTTTTGTAAATGTGGCTCTCGCCCTAGCGCCGCGCGCATTCGCTTTAAATATTTGCAAGAGTTTGGCGGATTCGGGGCGGCTCCTTTTCAAAATGTGGCTCTCGCCGTAGCGCCGCGCACATTCGTTTCAGAAAAATCAAGAGTTTCAGTCATTCTCGTGGGTACCGCACCAGAAATGGCGTTTTGGAGCGATTCAGGATTGCCAGGGCGCAGCAGTCACGTTGATTCGCGGTGTTGAAGTCCCAGGAACGGTGTTCTGGCACGATTCAGGATCGTCAAGACGCAACAGTCAGGTTGACTCGTGGCGTTGAAATCCTGAGACTGGTGTCTTGGCACGCTAAAGGGTTTCCATACGGCTGTCCCCCAACGGGGCACTTCCATCAGCTGAAATTGACTTTCGCAGGGGCCAATGAAGAGGGAGCTTGGAGGGAGGGTGTAACTCCAACATCGTTGGTGAGTCTTGGGTGCACTGCTCCTCCTCCTCCTCCTCCTCCTCCTCCTCCTCCTCCTCCTTCTCTTCCGTCTCCTCCTCCTCCTCCCTCCTCCTCCTTCCTCCTCCTCCTCCTCCTCCTCCTCTTCCTCCTCCTTCTCTTCCGTCTTCTTCTCCTCCTCATCCTCCTCCTCTTCTTCTCTGCTCCCGGCCCCGAGGCCGACCGAGACTTCCCGATGGGCGCCGTGGTGCTCTCGGAGCAGCCGCTCCTCGGCGCCCGGCTGCTGCCGAGCTGCCCCGCCTGTGCGTGGCTGGCGGGGCTGGAGGGCCAGGGGCTCCTGGAGTGCCCGGTGCTCTGCGGGGGAGCCTCGGAGAGGGCCGCCGCGCCCCACCCACATGCGAACCCTACCCCTAGCCACCACGATTTCTGAGGGGGAGAGTGAGGTTCACTTCGTTCGGGGGCTCCCAAGGGAAGTGAACCCCACCCTACCCCTCAGAAATCGTGGGGGGTAGGGGTAGGGTTCGCATGTGGTCCCCTTACCCTGCCGGCTGGAGTGATGGGCAGAGTTTCCCCCACCACTGCCGGATGCAGGACGGGGGAGGAGGGAGAATGAGGAGGTACTCCTCCTCCTCCTGCTGCTCCTCCTCCTCCTCCTCCTCCTCCCTCGCCTACCTATGCTAGTGGTGGTGGAAAATGGGCCCGTCATGGAGGAGGACCTCCATATTCCCCTCTGGTGGAAGCGTCGCAGCGAGAGGTGGTCGGCCGTGCTCGGCTTCCGGGGGCCCTGCCTGGCTTCGGGGCTGTCCAAGACACGGCCCAGGACGAAAAATGCGTCCAGGGAAGGGGGTCCAGACCTCTGGGGGTCGGCGCCAGACAAGTCACGATGCTTCTCCAGGGACTTTTGGCGTCCAGTTCTTCCGAAGGCCGAGCCCTCGCAGTTCCCTTCTTCGGCGGCTTCTGGGAGGAGTCGGAAAAGGAAGAGGGGGCGGAGGATGATCAGAAGAGGATGAGGAGGAGTTGGTGGAGTGGAGGGGGAGGAGGAGGCAGGAGGTGGTGGAGTGGAGGGAGAGGAGGAGAAGGAGGAGGAGGGATGGGGGAGGTGGAGGAGGGAGGGGGGATGGGCAGGAAGAGAACGAGGTGGGGAGGATCGGGAACGGGGAGGGCGGGAGGACCAGGAAATGGATTGGGAGGAGGAGGAGGACCACTGTAAACCCAAGATGCATGAGCGATGTTGCAATAAGCCCTCCCTCCAGGTTCCCTCTTCGTAAGTCCCTGCAACAGTTTGCTTCCATTGCGGGAAGTACCCCCCTTCAAAAAACACAGAATAATGATCTTCATTCCTGCCACAGCATTATTCCTGGAACATCAACGCCGCGTTTCAACGTGACTGCTGCGTCCAGACAATCCTAAATCGTGTCAGACCACCGTTCCTGGGATGTACAACACCGCGAATCAACGTGACCGTTGCGTTTAGACAACCTTACATCGTGCCTGCTAGAAAGCGGTTTCTGGGACGTCAGTCCTACGAACTTCTGAAATTGCTACACTGCAAGCGTTCAAGACGAATGTGCGCGGCACTCAGACGAGGGCCACCCTTTGAAAAGGAACCAGCATCCATCCTTGAAGCTGCTGCAAGCTTTTTTAGTCAAATGCGCGTGGCGCTAAGCTGATAGCCACATTTTGAGAAGCAGGTGTTCCTCATCCTTCAAGCTGTTGCAGATGTCTTGAGCTTCAGGATCACACGTAAATGGCGTGGAGGTATCAGGCGAAACGCCCGGCCCGTCCACCGACACTTCTGGGAGTGCGACAGCGAGGAGTTGTTTACAGTGGGAGCCCGTGCCAAGAAACACTAAGTACACGTTTTGCCAGGGCACCCTGGGTTTATTTGGTTGTGATCGGATAGAAGGCTTGCAGCGGTCGCAAAGAAACCGCAGCTGGCAGGGTGCCCTCAGCGTCTTGACGCGAGAAGCTTTGCGCGAGCCAATTTGAATGCCTGGCCCAGGGTCTACCGAGCCTCTTCGCTGGCAGCCGCTGAGCAAGAAACCCAGCTCTGGCGAAAGGAGCTTCGGCGATTTCCGGGTTGGGCTCCTTGTGGGCTGGCCTTGGCTGTACAGGGAAGAGGGATGGAGGGGGGAGCGGGGAGGGAGGGAGAGGACAGAGAGAGAGGATGGGGGCCGCCGAAGTCGGCAGCAGCCAGGGTCTCGCTGGAACTCTCCACTTCAGCACCGCCGCCCCCGTTGGCTCTCTGCTGGCCGGCGAGCCCGAGAACCAACGGGCGAAGCATCGGCTAGGGGCCGTCCCCCCTCGTCGTCCACCCCCTCGAGCGCGGCATCCTCCTCCTCCTCCTCCCCCTCCTCGTCCTCCTCGTTCCTGTTGTCCTTTCCGCTTCCTCCGTGTCCTCCTCCTCGTCGTCCCTTCCCACTCCTCTGAAGGTCCTTCGTCCGTCGGTGAACTCTCCCCCCCCACTCACATGGCTCCTTTGATACACTTCTTTGCGTCCTCCCGTCTTCCTCGGCCTCCCTTCCCCTTCCCCTCCCCGCCCGTCTCATGCCCGTCGCCGTCTGCTCCTCGCCAGGGGGGGTCGGGGAGGGCTCCTTTCTTGACTCCCCGTCTTCTACTGGGCGGCCCTGAGCTGCCTTGTGGCCGAGGAGGCTTCGGGCGGGGGGGGCATAGACAAGCCACATAGTGTCTTGCCCGACAGAGGGGCTTCTTTCCTCTTGCGTGAGATTATGCTATTCTGTCGACCTACCTCGGATTCCGCCAGCGCCGTTCTCTGTTGGGTACGCTGGCGATGTCGTGCCTTGCAAATGTCCAACGTAAGTTGTTCCTCCGCCCCGCCTCTGCAGTTCACGAGCTCACGAGGGTTTTGCTCAGATGGTTCTAAGTGGGCGCGCTCCTCTTGTGTGAGGCCTCCGTCGGCTTTCACCAGCTTCTGCCCGCACTTGTGTCCGCAGAGGGAATATTGAATGTCTTTCTTTTGTTGCTTTGCCTTGACCAGCACCGTTTGCGAAAACCCTGGCACCTCGGTGTATGGCCTTGCCGGCTTCATTCTTGGATCATATCGGGGGCCAGACCTCACATTGGAATCTTGAGGCAACGTCCGCGGCCCACGGCTGATGGGCTCCGAAAGTTCTTGCCGGGCACCGGCCCGCAGGCGTGACAGAACAGGGTGGACGGGGCCTTTCAGCTCTCGGGCCCTGCCTTCGTTCTCTAGGTGTTGTGCGCTGGGCTGGTTGTGGACGGCCCGGGGGATCAGAGCGGCCTCCCGAGGACGTGCTCCAGGTTTGTTCTTTGTCCGTGCAGCGCCAGCGGTCTGGGGACCTGGGGCGAGCACAGGCCAGGGACAGATCGGGACCAGAGATCCTGAGAAAGTTCCAGAGAAAAGCGCGCACAACGCCGTGTTGTGGAGTGCTGCGCGCGTGCGCAGAAGCAGCCGCGAGAGAAGTCGAGGGCGTGAGGAACTCAGAGCAAACGTTGGCGTTCAATCAGTTCGTTGGGGGCGGTTGAGCGAGCCAGATTTGCGCGGGCATCGGTAGCGGGGGCGCGGCTTGCACAGGGGGCGCAGCAGGTTCAAGTTTCGGGCGCGGACGCGTCCAGGGCGGGGGGCAAAGACGTCGCCGTCGGGGCCAGCGCCGCCCGTGGCGTCTCTGCCTCCCACCCGCGACGCGCGACGAGGTTCCGGGCGCCGCCGCAGGCGGATTTCGGAAAGTTCCGGAAGCGGGAATCGGAGCACACCGAATTTCGTTGGCCGCTTGCTCCTCAGAGAGTTTCGGCCAGCCCAGGGACTGTTTTGTTTTGCACGTGGTTCGGAGGCGGCTGGTGGTTCCAGCTGTTCTCCGAGAGTCAGAGGGGAGTTCGGGCCGTGATGAAATTTGTGCGCCCTGCTTCCTGGACGCCAGAAAGCTCGGTGCTGGGCGCTTCGAAAGTCGGCTTCCAGGTGGGCGACGCAAGAAAGCGGGGTCGTCTGCGCCGACAGTGGCGCGTAAGCTGCCCGCGTAAGGTCGCGCGTGAGCGCCCTCGCTTCAAATGTGGCGTGCCGCGCGGGCGGCCCGCGCAAGCTGCGGCGTAAGGTCGCTATGCCATCTCGCGTAAGACCCGTTTTTGATCGTCTCTCAGGTGGCCCCGTATTCCCAGGGGCCATACCTTCGGCCAGAGACGGGCGATTTGGGCTGGCGCCCGAGCGGCGAACGCTCGGCTCCCGCGGCCCGTGGGGCTCTCGCGGGCCACTTGCGGTGCTGTCGACGCCCCCTGGTGGCACGCCCGTGCCTCGGCATCGCTCGGACGTGCGCATTACTTCCCTCGGCGAGGGAAAAAGGCTGCCGGCGAGGACCATCGAGGAGCGTCGTGCGAAGAGTCCATGCACGAGTCTTGACCATCGTGCGAAGCACGAGCGCACGAAGCCGAGCAAGAGCGCACGGGGAAGGGGGGGTGCCCGAGCGACGGCCAGGGGCGCACCCGGGGGGCCGCGGGTGGCCAGGTGCGTGGCGGGGCGCCGTCTCTCCGCCACGGCGCACCCCCTCGGCTTCCTGGGGCCGCTTGCGTCCAAGGCGCGGCAAGCCTCTTCGGCGGCGCCCCCCCCCCCCCCCCCCCCGGGGCCTGGAAACATCGCACGCGCTCCCGAGCGGAATCGGAAGAGTTGTGAGGACTCGGCGTGACTGCGACGAGCCTCCTCGCCCTGCCCACTTCGCCTTCCTCCCCGCTCTCCCCGCCCCCCATTTCTCCACCCCGTCCCCCTCGAGACGGAGGGTTGTGCTGCTCCCCGCTCACCCCCCAACGACGAGGGAGGAGGAGGAGGAGGAGGAGGAGGAGGAGGAGAGGAGGAGGAGGGAGGAGGAGGAGGAGGAGGGGGGGGGGGAGGGGGAGGCGGGGGAGGGGTTGGAGGGTGAGGAGGAGGGAGGAGGAGGAGGAGGAGGAGGTGAGGAAGGAGGAGGAGAGGAGGGAGGGGAGGGGGAGGGGGAGTGGGAGGAGGAGGAGGAGGAGGAGGAGGTAGGAGGAGGAGGAGGGTGGCTCCCTCCCGCCCCTCGAGCGCCACTTGCGCCAGGGCCTGCGAGCGGTTGCCGGCCGAGGCTCGGTGGCATGTCCCCTTGTAGTGGGCACCGGCGCACGCCGCCTCCCGATCGCTCCTTCCTCCTCCCTCCTCACCGCTCCATCCTCTCCTTCCTCGCTCCTCCTCCTCCTCCTCCTCCTCGCTCCTCCTCGCGTCCTCCTCCTCCTCCTCCTCCTCCCCTCCCTCCTCCTCTCCTATCTCTCCTCCTCCTCCTCCTCCTCTCCTCCTCCTCCTCTCCTCCTCCTTCCTCCTCCTCCTCCTCTTCCTCCTCCCCCTCCTCGCTCCTCCTCCTCCTCTCCTCCCCTCCTCGCTCCTCTCGCTCCTCCTCGCTCCTCCTCCTCCTCCTCCTCCTCCTCGCTCTCCTCCTCTCCTCGCTCCTCCTCCTTCCTCCTCTCCTCCCCTTCCTCCTCCTTCCTCGCTCCTCCTCTCCTCCTCCTCCTCGCTTTCCTCCTCCTCCTCGATCCTCCTCCTCCTCTCCTCCTCATCCTCCTCCCCCTCCTCCTCATCCTCCTCCTCCTCCCCCTCCTCCTCCTCCTCCCCATCCTTGCCATCTTGGTCCCGGGCAGATGCTGTGATTTGTCTCAAGTCGGGCACGTCCCCCTACAGGAGGAAGATTGGAAGAATAGTCAAGAAGTAGTCTGGGGACGATCGTTTGAGCATTGTTTATCATTTCTGAACATCTTTGGGGTATTCACATTTTTTCGCTCAAGATCTGCCTGTCGGGGGACATGCCCGACCTAAGACTGGTCCCAGCTTCGTCTTGGGTCTGACCGTGCCTGCCTCGCCCCAGAGGTCGCGGGGGCCCACTGCGGCCACTGGCAGCCGGTCGACGCGGAGGTCCAGCGGGGCGTCCTCGAGCTCTGCTGTCCTGGCGGCCCCTGCCCGTCGCCCTCCAGAGCAGTGGCCCGCAGTGCCCAGAGGGGGGCCTTCAGGGCGAGAAGTTCATGACGGCGGGCCCGGGACCCAGGATCGACCACCGACCACCGACCACCCCCACATGGAAAAAAAGAGGGAGGGGGGTGGAGGGCGAGGGCAAAGAGGACGAGGGAGAAGTCGTGAGGGGCCTCAGGTGGGCGGGAGAGTGGACCTCCTGGCCCCATTCCCCGCCAGGGGCACTCGAAGATTTGGGTCTCTTCCTCCTCTTCCTTCGGTCGCAAATCATGGGAGCCTGGTACACCCTCTCAATTCCGTCTTTAGCGTCGACTCGTGTCGATTAGCGTCTGGGAGTCGATGAGATAGTGATAGCGCCGATTTAGCGTCGACTACAGTCGATTAGCGTCGATTCGCAAGAGCCGACAACATGGCATGGGAGGTTCCTACGAGTTGCCACCGAATCTTCCTTCTCCTTCCGCCAGGGTTTTACTCAATGTTCGCCGCTGGTGGAAGGCGGTCCTGGTCGCAGTCGATCCTTGGGACCCAGAGGGACAGGCAGGGACGAGAAGGAGACGGGAGGATGAGGAACAATTCTCCCTGTGGGATCTCCCAGGGAGGCTCCACGAGATGTGGGGGGGCCGCAAGGATGAGAGAGGGGGAATGCTAAGAGGATCGGTGGGGGGAGGGGGGACGGGGAAGGCGAGGAGGAGAAAGGGGAGACGGGGAGACGGAGGAGACGGAGGAGACGGAGGAGGAGGAGGACGGAGGAGGAGACGGAGGAGGCGGAGGAGGCGGAGGAGACGGAGGAGACGGAGGAGGCGGAGGAGCGGAGGGGGCGGAGGGAAGGAGAGACGAGGAGGAGGAGGAGGAGGAGGGCGGAGGAGAAGGAGGAGAAGGAGGAGCAGGAGGAGGAGAGGAGGCGGAGGAGGAGGAGGAGGAGGAGGAGGGGGATGAGGGGGAGGGAGGAGGACTGTCAGATGGAGATCTGTCTGCGACCCTGGAACCGATGTCGGGCGTGCCCCCCCCCCCCCCCTGAGGGGCCGCGCGTGCCCCCTGGTGCCCGAGGTGCTGCACCGCCCCCTCCTCCTCCGCGGCGCCTGCGGCTCTCGTGACCGGCCCGCATGCAGAGGGGGCGCCCCCCAAACTCTGGCGATCGCGAGCATGGATCGCAAATAAGCAAACATGGATCATGGAGGAGGAGGAGGAGGAGGAGGAGGAGGAGGAGGAGGAGGAGGAGGAGGAGGAGGAGGAGGAGGAGGGGGAGAGGGAGGAGGAGGAGAGGGAGGAGGGGGAGGGAGGAGGGGGAGGAGGAGGAGGAGGAGGAGGAGGAGGAGGAGGAGGAGGAGGAGGAGGAGCGACGGGTCCCGTTTCCACGGGAAGGCGCGGCTTTCCGCCGCCGAACGAGGCGGCGCCTGCCGCACTTGGGGGAGGGCACCTCCCCGGATCCGGGCACTTTCCCGGATCCATGGATTTCGCGACCGCGCGCCAAGTCCAGGGATCGCTGATCCATGTTTGCGCGCCCCCGACAAACGGCCCCAAGAGCACCCAAGAGCGTCCCAAGAGCGCTCCAGGAGGGACCCTTCCCCCTGTGTGCTGCCCACCTGCCTGATCGAGGCAACTCCTCTGGGCATCGTCTCCGGATGGGCTAAAGTTAGTGGCACGATGCGCGAAGCGTCGAGAATTAGCAAGGGCTTCATGGATCGGGGGCTCGTGGTTTTCAAAATGTGGCTCTCGCCTGAGCGCCGCGCAAGAGTTTCACGGATCGCCTTGCGTGCGAGCGCTCGCGGACGGGACCACCCCACCGCGTATCGGCGGCGAATGAAGGGGGAAGTGAGAAGGAGAAGGTTTTTCGAGAAGGCGGCGCGACTTGTGCCCGTGGTGCCCACAGCGGACTGTGCGCACCTGCTGGGCGCACCCCGACATCACCGTCGCAATCGTGTTTTGCCGATGGTCCGCTTGGGCGTGTCGCTTGTACCGCTCCTCAGCGAGATACGCACAGCCAAATGTGTCATTTGCACGCGTGTGTGGCGTTTCCGTCCTGGGCGGCATCATCGAACACAAGCTCGCTGCGCACATGCCATGCATGTGCAGGAGGCGGTCAAACGCCAGCTCATGCCAGTTCCACGAAATATCTTGGTCGGAAGATTTCGTTCCAGGACCCCCACAAGGTGGAGCTGGACAACATAATGCAGAGTGTTTGGAGGAAGTTCGTGGTGCTGAAGGATGAATTGACGAACGCCAAGTATCCAACGAAGACCCGGATTCGGTTATTCCAGTCGGCTGTTACACCGTGCGCATTGACTTGAATGGTTCGTCGTGTTGGACGCTTACAGCAGACCTGGAGCCGGCATCGATCAAAACGCAGCGCCAAATGCTACGAATGGTTATCGGGTCCGGCCGGCGCCGAATTCCACCCGCTTCTAATTCCCAGGCTGCGTCGCCGGAGATTGTTGGTTTATCTCCTACTTCTGATCATGATGATGTTGAGGAGGAGGAGGAGGAGGAGGAGGCGGGGGAAGCGGGAGAGCATCACATCGAATCGTGGGGCGTTTGGCTACAGAGGACGGCACGGCACTTAGAGCAGCAGTTGGACACGTTGGGGATACTGGACTGGAAGACGCAATACAGGAGGCAAACATGGCGATGTGCCGGCAAATTGTTGCAGTCAGATCGGGAAACATGGTCTCGTGCAGTTCTTGGTTGGGAGCCGGGGCGCATCTATTCGACAAGGGAACGCACTGGCAGGCCCCCCCGAAGATGGGAAGACGGTTTTGTTGCCGCTTGTGCCTCGCATTGTCAATCGGGCGAAAACTGGAAGACATGTAGCTTCAGACTCTAAATGGTGGGATGATTTAGAGTGGTACTACGCGGACCTGTGATCGTAGCTGCCTTCTTCCTCCACGTCGCTGCCCAGGGCGGGCCCGCCCGCGCTCCGGCAGCGCCCGCTCTCCCCTTGGTTGGGGCCAGCGCTCGGCTGTGTGGAGCGAGTCTGAGCCTGAGTCCGAGGTCGCCTACGGTAGGTTCGCGTCGTGTCGACCGGCGGCGACCCCGACGCCGGCGTTCAACGTTGAACGCCGGCGGAGGCCCAGAATCGGTCGATGTTGAACGATCGGACGTTGCGGAAATGGCCGATCGTTCAAGGTTGAACGATCCTCGCGGCGTCAGGGACCAACGCCCAGGTCGACACGGCACGAACCTGACGTACGTTCACGGGAAGATCGAAGCTGCGAATGCCCGGGGCAATCCGTGCACTCCAAAAACGTGCCCCTTACAGGGGGCCCGACATCGCGTTGCTTATCCACTCTTCGAGCTCATGTCTCACCGCGTCGTCGCACCCAGCGGCCAGGTTGGCACGGAGCCGCAACCTCCTCGTGTCGTGGAGGTTCAGGATTTGGTTCAAGTCGGGCCTGTCCCTCTACAAGAGAAGTGTCCAAAAATAGTCCAGAAATAGCCTGGGGACGATTCTTCGATTCTTTATACAATTTCTGAACATGTGCTGGTTATGTTGAATTTTTCGTCCGAAATCCTCCTGTAGGGGGACGTGCCCGACCTAAGATTTGGTCCGTGGTATGGACCCACCAATTCTCCGGCCCCTCCTCGGCGAATCAGGGCCTGCCAGACCGCGAGACCTCTGAGCAGAAACTCCAAAAGAACAGAGTCGCCCAACCTGGCCTCAAGTCGGGCGCGTCCTTCTACAGGGGGCAAATTCTAAAATAGTGGAAAATAGTCAGGGGACGATTTTCTTGTTATTTTTGATTATTTTGGGGTATGTCCCTCTACAGGGGGAATATTCAAAAATAGTGAGAGAATAATTTGGTGACGATTGATGGAGTCTCTGTTGATCATTACGGGGTATAGTTTGTCCATGTTTTATTTTTTCGTCCAAAATCTGCCTGTAGGGGGACACGCCCGACCTAAACTTAACAAGAATCTAGTCGCCCAACCTCGCCCCCAATGTCGATTTCGTCTGCCGGTTTTTCTCGGCGACTGCGCGTCGTGCCCGTTGTTTCTTCTGGGTGCGCAGCAGATGACGAGGCGCTTCTCCCCGCAACCTCCGTCATTTGACGCTTCTCTGCAGAGCTGCTTCTGAAGAGTGTTTGCACGGCGCAGCAGACGTGCGCCTCGAGCCGTCGAGGTTTTAGAAAAGAACAGCCGCCCAACCAAAAAGCAGCACGGCCCAACTGTGCCGAACGAACCTGACTACGAGTATGCCGTCCTCGTTGCACACGACGAAAAACTCAGGACAAACGCGTTCAAACAAAGAGAACAGCCGCCCAACCAAACAGCAGCACGGCCCGGATGTACCGAACGAGCCAGACTACGAGGATGCCGTCTTCGATGCACACGACGAGAGAGAAAAAAAGGAAACGCCGGGAAAACTTCGTCATGCGCAGCATATGATGGCTTGGTGGCTCGGTCGACAAGCGGTCGACAGAACACCATCAGGATTTTGGAGGGCATGCTGGCCACAAGCAAGGGCCTTGGCCGCACAGGCGGGAGGTCGATATCATCAAGCCTCGAAGAAGAAAATAACACATGAAAATAAACTTTTGGCGTTCCGCGCGGATCCAAGAAATCCGCGCGGAGCAAAGTTTATGATTTAAGTTGTTTCTTCTTCTACATAAGCAAGTGCCTTGGCCGCACAGGCGGGGGGTCGATACCATCAGGCCACTGCACGTCGCGCCCGCTTCTGGGGAGACGCGCCGCGAGGTATGCCACGTCGAGGCGAGTGACCTGCAGTCCTGGGCATGCAGCCAGAGCAGCATACGGGAAGCCGAGGCGCCTGGCGCAGCGACCCTGGCAATCAGCCACACGGGTCATCTCGACAAGGTTGCTCGGAAATGTGCAGCGAGGTGTCCGTGCTCCTCCACCCGTCGAGACCTGCTGCCACCTTGGG